ATTGAGTCCCCAAGATACAAAGGACTGTAATCACACAAGTATGCATCTCTTGGAACAAGGGGGCACAGAAATTCCTGCCTTTGGTAAGGGGCTGTTGATTCCCACCAACTGTGAAACATCATCTGCCCAGTGGTCCATTCCATATGGTTCCATCCATACAGCTGCTTCTAAGTGCCTTCTACTAATGCTTTGTGTCACCACTGACTAAGAGGTAGACCTATGTTTTATTGGTTAAAATATGTAGTGTCTCTCCCAAGCTGTCTGTCTGCTTTGTAGAGGAAAAAATACCAGCATCAAATCTTGGATTTTCATTTCCTCATCACTCTGACTTAAAAAGGAGAAATAACTCAACATTCATTTTAAAAAGTGTGGACTTTTTTATAGACAGTGGGTTTTTTCTCTCAGATAAGTAGATCTCGGCATTTACACATCGAGATGCCATTTCAATCCATGGATGCCTAAAGTGCTCTCAGAAAGCCTGGGAACCTTTTTTTAGAGAAATCATGTATTCAGTCTATTAAAACTCTCAGACATCCTAGTAAAGCATTTGTTCAAAACTAACATTGATTCCTGTAGTTGCCTATAAAGGAAAAATTTGCTGTGCTGACATACTCCTCTAGGAGAATGAATCAGTGGTCTGGCAAGGCTGCCACGGTTTGTATAAACCTGTTGGCAAAGCAGACCAAATACATGCAAAGATATAGAAGGGGGAAGACTTGAAGCTGGCCACCCTCTGAGTCTTACCTGCATATGCCAAAAGAGACGATAAAATCAGCAGAAGGACTCCTAGAGCTGTGCTGGGGATCAGAGGGACTGCTCTGGGTACACTGTAGAAATGCACTGCCAGCAAGAGTGATCCTGTGTGTGACAAGGGAGGTGGAAGAGAAGAAAGAGCTTGTAAACTTTGCCCCCCAAAACAGGAGAGAACCAGAGTGGCAAGAGCAGGGAATAGAGAAAAAATAACAGTACAAGATCTGCAAATAATGAAATCTAAGGAGCTGGGGGGGTGGGGTGGGGGGGTGTTGTAACTTGGTTTGTGTCCAAGGTCTCACCTCTTTCTGGGTGCCTACTTTTAAGAAACTTGAACTTAATCATGTTTGAAAGTGCTCCCCCGTTGTCAGATAAAGGTAAGAATCAGCTCTCTGATTCCAGTTACACAAAAGGCAGACAGATGCGCACACACTCTACAGATGACTGCACAAGTCTTGTGCCTACAGAAAACTGGCCTAAAAATGAGAAGGGGCAGCACTCAGAAAGATGAAATGCAAAGAAGGAGCAAATGAAAGGGAGTGAACACAGAAAACAGAGCTGCAGGGAAAACAGCTAGAAAAGGAAAAGAGAGGAAAGTGCATCCAAATAAAGATCAGTTATGAAAATGACTACCAAAAAGTTTTGATTTGCTTCCCACCCAGGATGGATCAAGTACAAAAGTTCAGGCCAGCACTTTAAAGCCAAGACAAATATCTTCTTGGCCGCTGAAATAGGCACAGGGATCTCTGGATCTAAAAGCTTTACCCAGGCAGAGAAGATTCAGAATAAACAGACTCTTTAGCCCCCTTCGAAAAGGGGGTTGTCCATGAAAGCTAGTCCCAACCCCATCCTCCCGTGCCAAGACTCGATCCCTACCTGCGGAAATGCCCAAGAGCCCTATGGAGGAATGCAGTGACTCAGCTTTTCTATCTGCCATCGCAGAGTCCGCTGAAGACCCAGATGCGGGCTGAAATGCTGCCTCTCTTTCCTCCCTAGCTCTTTATAACCAAACCAACTCCACTGGCCTGCGTTCCTCCCTGCTCTCCACCCCTTTTCCCTACAAACATCTTCTGTTAGTGTTCCTTTCTGCACGCAGGAGGAAATGCAAACGAGTTCCTTGCTGCAATAAATTTCAGTCTGTGTGTCAGCATGGACTGCTGGTAGCTCCCTCCAGGGGCCTGTTAATTTTACTGTTGATTAACCCTTGTTAAAAAGGACACTTGAAAAATAACGCTGAGGGTTTATTACTATTACTGCCTTTTTGCTACTGCCAGTGAGGAAATTACACCAGTTAAAGTTAAGGTTTTGTAAAGAACCCATCTTGCTGGAGCAAACAAGTACTTTGCAAGCCCAGGAGCTCCTTGGGGACCAGTTATTTCTCCTAACACTGGCCATGGTCCTGCTGCTTGTCCCTGTCACAGCTATGAATGCCTGGCACCACTGTCCTGTGCTGAGCAAACCCTGGGCAGATTCAGTGCCATTCCCTTAAAGGTGACTTCTGTCCATGCATCACTCCACATCTATCGAATCCAGCCTCTCTGCTCACACTCACGTGGAACTCCTCCTAAGTGTTTTTTATGAGGGAGGTGTCAATGCAAACATGCAGTCTGGAGATCATCTGTGTGAGGGTAAATCTAGAGGATCCTTGATGGCTTTCCAGGAGGCATCGCAGGCAGCGAGCGAGTATCAGTCATTGCCACGATTGCTGTTGTATCCCAAAGGCAACAGGACGGACCTACTTGCAGCTTCCTACTGCTTCCCATGGAGAATATGATCGTGATCAAGGCATAACAGTCTTTACCAATGGAGGAGAGGCTGCAGAAAGCAGTGGACACTGGCCTTGGGATGATATTGGGTCACACGTCATGTGGGAACTGGGCAGAGAACTGTTCTGTGAGAGCTAACAGAGCTTTGCTGGAAAACAGGGGCAACACTTGCCTGCACTTACGTACATTCCTCCATCATTTTGTTTGTGTGCAATGGACCAGTGTAGGGCCTATTCCCGTGAAGGACTCAGCTCCTGTTCCCATCAGCCCCAGTTAAAGCAAATTCCACTTTCAGACTCTTGACAAGAAAAAAGATGCAGAACAGTGTAAAGAGCTTCACGCTAATATTACTGGCTTGGTCAAGGATGACTCTGCAGAGGCCCTACAAGCTCTTGACAGATCCTGCTCTATATTCCCCTATAAGTCATGCTCCACAGCCAGGGCTGGAGGACAGAAAAGCTGTTGGAAATGGGACTTAGATCTGCACAGACTGGAGCTCAACGACAGGCCTCCAGGATCATCCAAGAGGCATTAGATCTGTAGCAGCATCCAGAACGACCCCAGACTGTCAGGCTCCACAGGTAATGTCAAAGTACCTTGCTCTTCCTGCTTTCTGAGCCAGCTGGAGTGATGGCATGCTTCCATTGCACAGCTGGATCCCTGTAATGACTCCCAAACTTTCCTGGTTTCTTCAGTGCTTTGGAGGACAGTTATCTTTAACTGTGTTCACCCTTCAAGAAGAGCTTTGAGGCAACAGGGTTCCTTCACGCTCATCTTCACTAGAATATTAATGCAGATTAAAGCAAGGTGTTAATATTAAAGCCCAATGTCTCTACAGTAATGTGTGCAGACGTTCCCACACAGAATGGAATAACTCAGCTGAAAAGTATTATTTAGCAAGAATATGTCTATTGCAGATAGATCTTTAGGTTCAATATGTCTATTGACATAGGTCTTATTACATGAGGAAGCAAGCATTGGAACAAGCCTGGTTTGTCCAGTTACATCGAAACAATTATATCAATAAGGGGAACCAGCTCAGTCAGTTTGCAACAGGCAGAGCTAAATGATGCAGCTTGCAGCAAGCAGTAAGTTTGTTTAAATCATCAGCCTCTGGCTATCTTTGTTCCATCATTAATGGGACTGCTCTCTAACCAGTTGAAGGAGGAAGAAATTTTCTGTTCAAGTTGTAGCATGATTCAGCTGTTTTTTTCATGCAAGAGGAAATAATGTATTTCTAAACCACAGTTAGAATACCTTCGATACCCAAACAAACAACAGTGAAAAGGCTTTGGGTCTTTCCTGCACATACCTTACAGTTGAATTCCTGTTCTGGGTAATAAAAGTAACTGAAAGGAAAAGCCTGTGTTAGATTAGCTGGACTGCGAGTCCTTTCTCACATGCTTTTTGTTCCTGCTTGTATAGGCAGCAGCTAGGAGTGTGTGGTGCCTGATATCACTAGTTTTAAGAGATGCACACAATAAATGAAGTCACATGCATTAGCCATGAGTAAATTTCTCATGCCTGCTATGACTAACGAATTTGCCAAAACACTATTTCATTATACACAGGATGTACTGCAAGTCTTTTCCAAATATAAGAGACCCAAAGAAAATTTCTTCTAAATAACCCCTGAAATACATTCTTCAGCCATGTTGCATGAATTGTTTTGCTCTCTGAAGAACGGCAAGACAGCCTCAACAGGCCACAGTTATTTCAACAGTGCAAAGCTGAAATAGAGAAGTACATAACCATCTCAGGTGTGAGCATCTCAAGGACAAGGAAGAACAAGTCTCTGCACGAGCAAGGGAGCTACCCCATCACACGCTGTGAATCTTGTGGCCATGTGCCCCTACAGAAGTCAGAGCTCTGCCCATTCCTGGTACCACTTTGCTGGCAAATGGAGAGATGGTGTTGTTGATGAAGTATCAAATTATTAATTTCTAACCTCAGGACCCAAAGGCCAGGAAATAACTACAACTTGAGGGCAAAGCATCTGCTCTTGAGAGATGGGATATGAGGATAAGAATATTTAAGGTCAGACAAGGAAATCTTGGTGTTAAAAGACTGAGGCTGCATATGCAGTGTAGGGTTTAAAAAAAAAGGGGCACAGAGAGGAATGCCCTGGCTTGAATACTTGCTCTGAGCAGGCTCCCTTTGATACCATCTTATGTGCAAAGACTTCGGTACTTTAGTCTGAAATAGAATGCAAAATGATAGCTGAGAAGTAAAAACACAGCTGCTCTGTTGAACAGGTCATGTCAGCTGGGGATGCTTTGGAGACAACGTGCTGGGAAGAAGATCTGCAAGGGAGCAGTCAGTTGAGGAAACAAATAATATTTACATGCCCTGCCTGTGGCACTGGAAATAAAACCTTCTTGCCAGTAAGAAATTCAGCCCAACCCTCCCGGCCCCACCTGCTCCTGGGGGAGGGATCGCGCTATAAAAGACTCCAGGCAGTGAACAGAGATGCACAGCAATTTGGGGCTCTCCAGGGAATCCTCCTGCTCTGGTTCTGACCATGGGGAAGAGAGTGGCTGTCGTGCTGGCTGGCTGTGGGGTGTACGACGGGAGTGAGATCCATGAGTCTTCTGCTGTGCTGGTGCATCTCAGCAGGGAGGGGGCACAGGTAAGAGGCACCCTGGCAGGCTCCTGCTCCATCTCTGGCTCCTTTTGCCCTGCTCTGCTTTTCAGTCTCTCTCTCTTGCAGAAGGTACTTCTCTCTAAGGAGCTTTGCAGCTTGCCGGACAAAATCACAAGCTCCCCGTTGCTGCTAGGGTAATTGCAAAGCATAAGTGACTGGAGTCAAAGCAAACGGCACAGCTTAGGAGCTGCTACAGCGAGCATGGAGAACTCCCCGCTCTCTGCTTTCCTCTCTCAGCTTTGCTGTATGAGATGATTGGCTTGGTGCTCTGTGTTGAGTGTATCCAAACTCTGAAACAAACTTTCCTAAAAGCATTCTCTATTCTTTTTGGTTTGCACCTCCTCTTTTCTGCGTTGTTATTTCTGTTTAAAAGACTACTATTGTTTCTGGCTGTTTGAAATTCATCTTTTTAAAACCCCAAAGATTAGAGTTGAAAATAGACAAGTTCTTCTGAGTTGAACTTGAAGAGGGGTAAAAAAGGTGACCCTCAAGCAGCCGCTTTAATATGCCATTAGTCACAATAGCCACTCTGCGAGACTGGAAGAGGAGGGGGAGAAGCCCTATGTAACATTATCCTCAGCTCTGAGCCACCCACAAATCTGGGTCAGAGCCGTTCTCCTGGGAATCGGAATTGCTCCATTAAATACAAAGGCACGGTGGTGATGTAAATGTGCTGCGGAGCCAGCCCACCCAATTCCAAAGCCTTCAAAGTGTGCATTCTCTGTTTGGCTTAAAGCTGAGACTTGTCCAAGCCTTTTCTGTGCTGTGTGTAATTTTGCCACCTCTTCTCTGCTGGAGCTGCTGCAGTCTCTTCCCTCCTGCCATACCCTGATTTGTCAGGCTTGGAGCACTCATCCCTTGATCGGCAGGGACCTCTCGTGGAGAAAACTCAGGAGTTATTTCCTCCGCCTCCCCTCCCTTGCCTAAGGAAACAAAGAATAGAATAGAATAGAATAGAATAGAATAGAATAGAATAATAGAATAGAATAGAATATTGCAGTTGGAAGGGACCTACAATGATCATCTAGTCCAACTGCCTGATCACTTCAGTGCTGACCAAGGTAAAGCATGTTGTAAAGGGCACTGTCCAAATGCCTCTTAAGCACTGACATGCTTGGGGCATTGACCAGCTCTCTAGGAAGCCTGTTCCAGTGTTTGACCACCCTCTCAGTAAAGAAATGCTTCCTCATGTCCAGTCTAAACCTCCCCTGGCGCAGCTTTGAACCATTCCCACGCATCCTGTCCCTGGATCCCAGGGAGAAGAGCTCAGCACCTCCCTCTCCCCGTCCCCCCCTCAGGAAACTGCAGAGAGCATGAGGTTGCCCCTCAACCTCCTTCTCTCCAAACTAGACAAGCCCAAAGTCCTCAGCTGCTCCTCACAGGACATTCCTTCCAGCCTTGTCACCAGCTTGGTTGCCCTCCACTGGATGCATTCAAGGACCTTCACATCCTTCTGAAATTGTGGTGCCCAGAACTGCATAGCTTATGCACTCCCAAAATCTATCACCCATCTGATTGCCACCCTCCACTCTTAATTTCTGCATGTGAGCTTGAAACAGTTCTGAAGGAAGTGTAAGGATCTTCCAGAAAAAGAAATATGCTGGCTTTGGGGAAACAGTGGCTGGGGAGAAGAAACTCAAAGTCCTGTCTTTGAGGGGGGCATGTGGTTCGACAGCAGCTTGCTGGGTAGTCAACAGCCATAGGGGATGACCGGCTTTGTGGGGGCAGCTGGGGCAGGGCTGGGGCTGCCCCAGTGAAGGTGATTGATTGGGATGCGGGTAGAAACCTCTAAGAAATGGCTTCACCAATGGCTTTTGGGAGACCTCGTTTTCCTAGGAAGGAAAGGAGTCCCTGCTCTCTCTTCAGCACCTCAGGCCCCAAAACAAGAGTGTGGGTTAGCTGCTTTGCTTTCACCTAACACTACCCTCATTCCTTTAAGATCAGGGTAAATGTTCCTGTGCAGAAGCTACAAAAGACCTTTCTTTCTTTCTTTCTCCTCCCTATGACAATAACCTTCCTGATGCCCGTATCAGATACAGGTGAGGCTGAAGGTCACTGCATTCACCAGCAAAGCTCTTTCCTAACAAAGTAACTCAAGCATTTTCATTCACTACCTATGATCTTTAACATGCTTAGGATACATGACTGAAGGATAATAGACCTTTCCCCTCCCTCCCCAGGCAGAGGTTTATGCTCCTGATGTTGACCAGATGCATGTGGTGGACCATGTGAAAGGACAGCCAACTCAGGAGAAGCGCAATGTGCTAGTTGAAAGTGCCAGAATAGCCAGAGGCAATATCAAGGATCTAGCTAAGCTGGATGTCAAGGGGCTGGATGCCCTGATCATACCAGGTAAGACAGCACGCGGGGTCTCCATGCCTAATGTCCTGGGAACAGCTTAGATATGTCATAAGCCTTGAATGACATGGGAGTCATGGGCTGGAGAGGAACTGGGCAGAGCCACTGGAGAAGAAGCCAGGCTGGAAGCAGGGACTGGAAGGACAGATGTCTTCCATCTCTGCTGGCACTGGCATGCTAGCTTGGACTTAAATTAAAAGAGGATATGGCAACGCAGCAGCTTAGCCCAAGAGGAGAGGACGGATAACTGCCAACTGAATTATCCTCTGTACCACCTACTGAGCTTTTTTTTTTTCTGGATGTAAAACTATCCCCTCCCTCACCAACATGCCTATCTTCTTACCAGGAGAAGAAGAGGCTGGGTCAGAAAGGGGGTGGCTCAAAAGCAGAAAGCTTGGTCAGTCTGGCAATTCACCTTTAGTGAAAGTATGACTATGTGATTTCAGTGGGGATGGATTAGGCCTGGAGCAAGGATTTGAGACAAGTGAAAACTTGTCAGCATGTTCTACCATAATGCAGAAAAGAACTGATGGGTGAAACACAGTACCCAACAGAGCACTGATAGCTCTCCGCTTCAGTTCTGTATGGAAGCAAGAAAGGTGCTTTGATGTCTCATCTCCTGGCAGTCAGCTCACAAAGGTTCAGCTTGTCTGTTTTTAATTCTTTTATCAACATTGGATAAATGCTGCCATCCACCAAACCCATTTTAGCATTCTACCAAGTAATAACTGAAAAAAATCCTGCCCTGAGTACTAATTTTCCAGTCTAATCTGTTTCTTTTTTCTCAGGTGGCTTTGGAGTAGCTAAAAACCTGAGTACTTGGGCCACCCAAGGCAAGAACTGCATCATCTCCAAAGAGGTGGAGGATGTCCTGAAGGCATTCCATGCTGCCAAAAAGCCCATTGGCCTGTGCTGCATTTCCCCAGTGCTGGCAGCCAAAATCTTCCCAGGCTGCGAGCTGACTGTGGGTCATGACACGGAGTGTGAGAAGTAAGTAACCTTGGAGTGCTGGTATGAAATCACACCATGACATCACTGAATCAGCAATGCCTCCCCAATGTACGTAGCACCCTGTCTCATGCACCTCTTGGTCCCAGGGTAGAAAAGACACCAGACCACCGACTCATAAAGTTAAGCAGATCCTAGGTAGGAACAGGATGGTTGCACAAGACTTGGTAGGGTTAAGAGAGGGAGGGAGTTAAACTGTCCTTACTCATACGGGAAAGCTGTGACTGAATTCTCCCAATGGTGGGGAAGGAACTACAGTGGCTTTTGCTAGGAAGGGCTAGGAAGTAATGTCACTCATAGAAAGCTGGTGAAAAAAAACCCCAAACCTAAACACAAAGTCTGGAGCGGGCAGAGGTAAGTAGTGGAACATCTATAGTGGAAACATAAAGGTCTTATTTTGGCTTTACTTCAGATTTTTAACTCACTGTAATCTGGAGGTTTTCCTGGTTCTGTAGTCCTGGAGAAACTCCTCTGACTGGAAAAGATTTGGATCCTGGTGAGCAGGTTTTCTGTAGGGACCATCCATCTCTCTGTAATCAACAGACTTTTCACTCTAGGCCTTCGTCAAATCGCTCTGTGTAATGACGGCTTCCCCATACAGGGTTTTTTCTCCTTTCTCCTTGTAGATGGCCTTATGCAAAGACTGCTGAGACCATGAAGGAACTTGGTTGCAAGCACGTGAACAAACATGTCACTGAAATTCATGTGGATGTGAAGAACAAGCTGGTGACCACCAGCGCCTTCATGTGCAATGCTCCTATTCATGAGATCTACGACGGTATCGGCAAAATGGTCAAAGAAGTGGTCAGACTTGCCTGAATGCCACAAAGCCACAGAATCCATCTTCTCTGGAGTGCAGGCACTGAGCCTCGGATAATATTCTTCCCCTTTTACACCCACATGTCAACAGGCAAACTGCTACTCAGACGGAGTTCTCCCCCCCCGCCAGACCACTGGTGGCTGCTGGGGAGGGAGAACTCCGGAGCAATGGAAGCATTGTCGTGTTCTGCTGAGGAGACACCACTTACTGACAGCAAACTGGCAGTAATGGGAGCGTGGGCAGGCATCGAGCTGGCATGCAGAATTCAGGTTTCCACGGGGCTCAAATAGAGCCTCTGTCTTTGGTTCTGAGTAGCTGAGGGTCCTGGGGAGCTGACATGAGCCTGGGTCATGTCAGCCATGACTGGGCTGACCTGACGTGTGCACATCATGCGCCAACAGGAATCGGTCCCTTTCTGGGACTCCTTACACATCCATCTTTGCCAGTACTTCAAAGCTCCCCACATACCTCCACCTCACAGAACAGATGAACTGGTAGCAAAAGGAAGGAACACAGTTCCGCTACTGAATAAAACCTGACACTTTTTACATGGGCTGAATTCTGCTTTCATTTTTTGCTTTTTACTCCAGATTAGGACATGCTTTTAGTGCTACTGGTTGGCCAATGAGTGGGGAAAACGATACAGGAGGAAGTCACCAGCAACAAACTCCACTTGTTTTGCTAGGATTTGTCAGAACTGAGACTTGGGCATGAATATGCCATGGGTAAAAGCAGAATCAAACCAATGTTAGCATCCAGGTCTAATGGCAAGAGGTTAAATTCTTCCCTTGTATTAACAGAAGACCTGCTATGATAGCACGGAGAATTTTGGAAGCAGTCTTCCATAGTGGTCCTAGGCAGAAAGAGTCCAGGGTGAGGTCTAGGCATCCCAGAGAAAGTGGGGCAATTTCCAGTCCGTTCCAGTCTCTAGGAAAACTCCTAGAAACAACCTGGAAGCAACAATTCTGCATTGCAACAGGGGCAGAGAAGATACCCATCTAGCTGAAACCTGAATGGCAAGCTGTAAACTGGCTGGGCAATAGCAAAGTCTGGCAAGCAGAAGGCGCTAAAAATAACCCAGTATCACGGTTGTTCAGATAACAGCCAGGCACAGGTTTTTAAGAACAGAGGGAACCATTTGTCTGTGTAATCTGAACCACGCTGTAGGAGCTGTAAAGCACACAGCAGCTCACATTGGGTTGAAGCAAGCCTGCTGAGAGGATTCAGTCTTGACTGAATAGCTCCTTCTCACAGTTAACCAATGTCACTTAAGATAAGCCATGCTTTATTTCTCTCATATAGTTGAAGAGCTTACTTCCAGGCCCTGGATGCTGACAGGTTTGTCTCCATTAGGATCAAGAGCTTTTTAGATGGTAGCTGGTATGTTCTTCTTATATAGGTTCTTATTATACAGGTAGTATCATATAATCATTACAGACTGAGCTGTTTAATTCTCTCAGTGTAAGACACATTTTCTAATCCAGCAACTATTTTCTCAGTGTCGTGGTTTAACCCCAGCCAGCAACTAAGCACCACGCAGCTGCTCACTCACTCACTTAAGACAGTTAACTCTATCCCAGCTGAAACCAGGACACTCAGGCTCTTCTCAGCAAACTCTTCAGGCTTTTTACATCCTTTACAAATCATCGGCATATTTTTGCACTCTCGCCAACACAGTAAGATCCTTCAAGACGACACTGGTGACCAGAGTGGGAAGAAATTTACCCGCATGCCGCTGTGGTACTGCAAAGAGGGGTTCAACACATCTGGCAGTGAGAGAAGAGCCCAGAGTAGCAGAATACAGCAATTCTACCCAGGTTTCTAAGGAAAATGTATCTTACCCAGACACTCTTTTCTGCCTTACTTTTTTCCACTGATTCTGCTACCAATCATTTTCACCCTGTTGGGCACCTTGCATAACCTTTTGCAAAGGTGTGTAAGCCTCCAAAACATAAAGGACCAGCCAGTTTTGGGACAGGAGCTGCCAGGAAAAGGAGGGAAGTGTTTGCTAGCACAAAAAGTCCACTGTTCCCTTGGTCCTTTGATAATCCCCTGTAGAGAACTGTGTGCAATGAGTATCCCAACCACAGAGTAACGTTCAGACTGAATTAGCATTTAATTAGGACAGAAGCACAAATTCATGGGAGTCCAGGCCTCAAAGCGGCACAGTTTTCTCCCATACTGTTACTTCTGAAGGTGAATCCACAGCTTAAGCTGTCCAGTACCTTATAGGAAGTAATTGTTCCGAAGCCCTTGAACTCTTTTGTCTTCTGCACAGTGCAGGAGCTCAGGAAAGGTACAGAAGTTTCTGCCATAAGCACTAACTTTTGAGAGTTATAAAGGATTTTCTGAGATTAAAAGTGTTTTGACTGACTTATCAGATAGGCTGAAAAGCTACAGGATGTAAATACAATAGGGAGAATTCCAGAGACTGGCTGAAGAATTTGAATTAATCTCTGACTTTAGATCCAACCCACACAGACACAAAGCTAGTAACAACACTGTTTGCTGGGATGCTGGAAACTGCTTCCACTAGTGGAGCAGGAAAATCAACCCCAAAGATGAAACATTAACAATATTTTGGTGTGTTTTGACACCCAAGAAAGGCAACAAACAAGAAATAAGGAAGCTGGAGAAAAGTGACACTGTAACTAGTTGTTTATATGGGAGTGGGAGGAAAAAAGAAAATCCTGTAGTTACGGGTCGGTCAGCGTCAGAATCCGTAGGAACTCCTGTTCGTCCACGTCCCCATCTCCATCCACATCTGCTTCATCAATCATCTCCTGCAGGATAGCAAAGATTTGGAGAGCAGGTTAGGTGGGATCTGAGAGGGTGGACGCTCACAAAGTGCAAACACCAATGAAGGTGTCAGGCAAGGCCCAAGCGAGATAGAGATCATGTCCATTGCAAAGCAACACAGCACAATTCCCCAACCAGTCTTCCCTGCAATAAGACACTCCCCTCCCTCCCTGAGCAGAGCACAAGAGGAATATGTTTGTACTTCACAAACCTGCAGCTCCTCATCCGTGATGTCTTCCCCAACCTCACTAGCCATCACCCTGAGATTCTCAAAGGCGATCTTGCCAGTGCCATCATAATCAAACACCTCGAAAGCTTCTGGGATCACCTCTTCCAAACATGGCTCTGCCTGAGCAAGGAAATGAAAAAATGCTGTTGTGTAAACATGACATCATACCACCCTACAATCCTTAGTCAGGCACTTTAGCCAGCAAACTTTTGCAATCAAATCCAAGACATCATTTTGGGGAAACCATAGCCATAGAAGAGGGTTACCTACTGCTGCTATTTCACCTTTGCCTTCCTCCCCCCACCCCATATAACTGTGTATTAAAGGAAAAGCCCCAAGAGAAGTTGTCTGAGCAGCATAGAGACCTGGCCTGGAATATCCTGGCCAAGCTTTGTCAGGAAGAGGGGGACTAGCACTAAAACTGGAGGAGGAAGCAGCTACCAAGAATGACCCAATGGCTACAGCTTTATTTTATTTTAAAAGTGATCCAGGCCAACGCTGGCTCTTACTGCCCTTACTCACCTTGCACACAGGCAATGCATACGCAAGCCTGCAGTTAGGTGTGGGCTTTGACTGAGCTGGGGGAAAATGGGGATCTTCACTGCTGTCTTAGCATGGGTCCCATGCACACCCCCCCGGCAACTATGATCGCATTGACACCATGCCGGCTGTGCCCCAGGCACCTCCCAGGCACCCCACAAAGGCTTGCAATGGAATCAGAAGGATGGGAGAGGCAGAACCAGGCAAGCCGGTGCTCTTTGAGAATGGCCTATGCCTGCATGCAGCCAGGCACTAGAGGATACAGAGGGTTTTGAGCCACAGGAATCTCAAGACAGGCAATGAGGACTAGGGAATGTGAAGCAAAGAGCTGGTGTCAAACAGCAGCTCTTCGGACACTGCATGAGCTTGAGCGGCTGTTGCCTGCAGGAGGTGCTGACAGTGTCAGTGGGTATTGAGGAATGATTTCATTACAGATGGTGAATTGTTCATCTGATGTATGACATTTGCTCACCGCTGTCTTGAATTGAAGATAAATAGCCCTGTGACTATAAAGACAGAACTGACATGTCATGTGGAAAGGTTTAAGGAAGGGAAGTGGGGACTCCTAGGTGCTGTGTGTGCTCAGGGCACTCTGGGATGGGAAGGAGATTGCTGCTGAGATGCAGCTGTCTCTGAACTAGCCATCCTGCTCCCTCTATAGTTCACGGAAAGAGGCAAGATGAGTAAGGACAATTCACGTGAAGGTAGATATCTAAAATAGCTCAGATGAAACTCCTGAAATGCTCCTGTTTGTCCCCTGCAGGGAACCAGAGTGACCCAATCTACTGCGGCTACCTGCATCATAAATTAGGCAAGAGGAATTTCCTTCTTTGAGACCAGCTGGGCTCACATACCATTTTCTGAGTCATCACCTGCAGAAACAACTCAAAGGTTAGCTTCCCTGACCCTTCTTCACTGCATTCAGAAAAGATTCTCTCCACCTCCTCTTCCCTCAATTCACAGCCCAGAGCCCTTACAGTTATCTGCCAAAAGAGAAAACAGAACAACGTCTTGGTGTACAAATCAAACAGAAACAAAGAGGGAAAGATGTTTGAAATAAGCAGGTACATGAAAATGGTGAAAAACCCCCAACTTTTCATCAACAGCTATTAATCCACCATTTTGTCTCTAGAGAACAAGGTTCTGTAGCTGTCTAACATCAGTAGTACAAGGCCATGAAAAATTAGCAGTAAGAGTTGTCAGCAAGGGCCAAGAAGGGAGGCTTTGGTCCCTCCTAAGGATACCTGGCTAGTAAGTTGGCACAAACCTTGCACCACTGATGGCTGCATAACGAGTCGGAGTTCAGGCAGCAAGGTCTGTTAGCACAGCAAGTGGTCCAAAAGCAATAGGTGGCAAACACCAATCGCTCTGTCACTGCTGCGCAGCAGCGTTTATCAGGTGCTTGTAAATGATTAGCCCCATTTCCAACATTTATGTTTACTGCCAGTCATTTCTGTTTGACTACAGTAATTCAAGTTCCAAATGCAACTGCGGTCACAAAGCAATTGTGTCTTTTCTACCAGCCTGAGGGGGTCTAGGCTTCTGATCTGTGTTACTCAGACTGTGCAAACACATCCCGAAGAGCAGCAGAGGGAACACCCTTCAGCTATGGAAATTTGCTCTGTGTTTGTAAACTGTTAGAGGACAGGGGTTGCTACGAGAATTTTGCTTGCAAAATGTCATTCCTCCTCAACTTCTTGAGGATGGGGGTCACTGTGAAGAAAGACAGGGTAGGAGACTCCTGAGATTTATTCCACAGCATCACACAAAAAGGACCTAAACCCCCTGGTGATCTGGGCTGAGTTCAATCAGCAGCAGGGATGGCAAGCTCTACGTGTCGTTATAAACTCCCACTGCAGGCACAGCAGTACAACAGCAGTACTGCACTAATATGATTTTCCACATGTGAAATGGGTTATGAAGGGTATGCTGCACAACCGTGCCTTCTTTCAGGCCTGCCTAAACAAAGTCCCTAGCAGCACAGGTTAACGTTACCTTGCTGCACTGATGAAAACCTGACAGAAGAGATTGGCAATGAGGCTAGGAAAGTAGTAGGCCTCTAGATGAGTGGTGGAACTTCTTTCCACCTCCTACAAGCTCACTGTGACCAGAGGTCCTCATTCCTGACCAGGTTTTCTTCTCCATAGCCCAGAAGGATGTGAAAGAAGCAATGCAGCTGTGTGGGACTTCATGGGGGGAAACGAGGACGAGCGAGGCATCACTAAACCTCACCCCCTTCGTTTTCACCCACCGACACGCTGCATTTTTACAGCTTCTTGCCTTCAAGTCGCTGACATCGATCAGGCCCGAGCCATCAGGATCGAACAACTCAAAGACCTCTCGCAGCTCTTCCCTCTCCTCTTGGCTGACAGGGAAGGCGGGGGCTGGTTCCTCCGTCGGGGAGCCCCCCTCGGCGGTGCCTCCCTCCCAGCTGGAAGCCTGCGGGAGAGAGGTCCGGGGGGGACGGTGACCGGCGCCGGCCGCAGTCACCCCTCACTCCCGGCGCCCACGGACCCACCGCCCGCCGTTTCCCTCAGCGACGCCCCGGCCCGCCTGAGGCGTTTCTGAGGGAGGTGTCCCAGGCGGTCAAGACTCGGGTTAAGGCCAGCAGCCGCTCCCTGCCGCTCCGTAGGGCAGCCCCCGGGGCCGTGGCCAGGCCCGGGACCGTCTCCAGGCCGCCCTGAGGAGCCCCGCGGTAGCGCGGACGGAGAGGCCGGCCCGACCCCGCCGCCCCGCTCACCATCCCACAGCCGGCCGGGCGGCCGGCCTCCGCACCACCCACGTTCCTCATTGGCTAGCGCTCCTGCTCCTCAGGGAAAGCGCGGGGGTGATTGGCCGAGACGCAGCGCCGGGGCGGGACAAGGCCCTCCTCAGTGGCGAGGCCTGCGACGCTATCCCGCCCCGTACCTGCGGTCTCGTGCCGGGCGGACGTTATTGCCGAGAGCCAGTGATCGCACGTCCTGCATTTATTAAATTGACCTGGGCTGATAAATTAAACAATCAAGAGGTTTTGGTGTACCCCTTGTCACTTACATACCCCTCTAGGTGCGCCTCGTGTTAAAATGAGGCAATGCCATTTGTACAGTTTTCTGTAACGGGGGTGTTTTACCCCACGGGGGCACGAGACCGGAGGGATGGCAAGGGAATAAATTAGATTTTTGAGTCAGGAAGAGGTTCGGATTTCTGGAAAGGAGGAATCTGTCCTGGTGGCAAGCAGGGAGGGAGGGTACCAGGGGGGTCAGTGGAAGAGAGGGGAGCCGCAGAAGGGCACGGGAGCTGATTTCCTTCCAACATGTGGCAAAAGCCGTCCCTCGGCTCGCTCTTACCCCAAAAGCCGTCCCTCGGCTCGCCCTTTCCCCAAAAGCCGTCCCTCGGCTCGCCCTTACCTCGGACAGACGACACTTCACAGACAGACCCTGCAGCAGCCGCTGCCTCTAGAGTGAAGCGTTTAGTAACTAGGGCTCTGTGGGAGATGGAACAGTTAAAACCCAAAATGCTTCCAGTACCTGGAAGAATTGTTTTATTGTTTGTCAGAAAATCAGAGGGCATGCTGTACCAGCGGAGTTGTTTGTGGTTTTGCATACTTCTTTGCACAACTCTGATGGCTTAAAATAAGACACTTTATTTTAAATATGATCTTATATTTGCAGCCACTGAACATTCCTGCAAACATACAGAGCTTTCAGCAGCAGCACTGGTAACTTTCCTCTTCTTTCTCAAAGAGATTTCTTTAAACATGTGAACTGAACAGCAGTAAGTTAAGTTGCAGCAGTCCATTTACTTACTTTTTTTTTTTCAGTTTACAGAACATACTAAAAAAGGGTGAGGGAATAATCACCATAAGACAGAGTATAAAAAGGTGATCCCTGCAAATACATCACATAAAGAGTTCACTATAGCTGGGCCCAAACAAAGACATTAAATCAAAAATTTCAGCTGCTGGGAAATAAGAGATTTACACTGTCTGGTTTTGAGTCCTCTCTTTACCAAACCATAATCATTTGCCACATGTTTTTTAGTCAGAGAAGGACCTGAACACTGTCACTGACAGATGTGATTTGTGTATTGAAAACAAAGAGTGTAGACATCTTATGAGCACAAACAAGCACCCACGTTACTACACATAAACAGGTTAGCGCTTGGTAACTGTTCACAAACATGGGTTTAAGATCATCCACTTAAAAAAACATATTGACCTACATTTTCTGCCATCTCAAAAGAAATAAAAGACTGTAAAAAAGTGAGGCACCAACCAAACATATATACATATGTGCAAAAATAAATAAAATCATCTCTCAGTAAAGGCTGGTCTTCTTCATGATCCGCAAGAATTCTTGCTCGTTCACTTCCCCATCCCCGTCTCTATCTGCTTCATCAATCATTTCCTGAAAGATATTTGTATTCAGAAATTAGATACAGATTAGACTAGGATTAGAATTATTAGATGAATTCAGAATTAGAACCACTTTTTAGTAAATTGTATTGAAGGGGACAGCATTAGCTCAACATCAGACCTACTATGCTACAAAATATTTACTAAACTAGACAATAATGTGTTTTTCTTTATCTATTTACACAAAAATCTGTATAGAGAGCATTGTATTATAGGAACTGTCCTGGAAGAAACAAAGTGCTTGGAGCAGAGTTGTTCCTTTTACATCACTGTAACTCCATAAAACTGCAATTCTACTGATGCAATTTCGACAGCCATGTATGCTTGACCCATCTTTGACCTCAGAGTCCATTTCACAATCACAAATTGACAGAAGCTCTTCCATCTCTGCCAGGAGACATTTTCCTAACAGTTTAAGTGTAAAGATCCCACAGGACACTAGAGGACAGCACCTAAAACTGAGAGATTGCTGTCTTTACCTAAAACCTGACCCTGAGAGGCCTTACTTCCCCTACTGAGACAGAGATTCCCATTCCGTATTCTTGCTGCTAGCTCTAGTGCTTAGCAGACCAGTCAGAGATGGCTCAGCTCTTCAGACAGAAGGAGAATTAGACTGTGACTATTTACATAGGTTTTAAACAAATGTAAATATGAAACCAAGAAATACATGGAACATTCTATGACTGCCTTCCTATTCAACAGGGACAGCGTAATCTGGACCTTTCTATGTTCACTATACACAAAGGCAGACAGTGAGTGTTTGTGTACGATATGGTTTCATATATCAGGTACAAACCTGCAGCTCTTCATCTGTGAGATTTTCCCCCAGTTCTTTGGCAACACGTTTGAGATTTTTGAAAGAGATTTTGCCAGTTTCATCGTCATCAAAGAGTTTGAAAGCTTTTAGAATCTCCTCTTTGGAATCTTTTTCGGCCTTAAAGAAGTGAGCATAAGTTTAAGGAAAAAAAGTAGTGGTTATGTTGTAGGTAACACTCAAAGTTATAAAAGACAAGCATTGGATAGACTGAGAAACTCTCTTAAGAGCAAATTTAAGGAAGCCCGGCCAGCAGGAAGTATACGTACAAAGGCTGAAGGTAGACAGAGCCACAACCATGCCTCCTGAACTTCAGGGCTACAGGGAATTTTTTTTCTTTCCTAGCTAGCGAGATGTCTTTGGGATTTCACTATCAGGATCTTCCACTGTTAAATATCTGTTTTTACTCAACATGTTTTAAGATTTTTAAAACCAGCAATTTCATCTGTAAATATCTTAAAACTCAAGAAAAGAAAATACAGTGCATTGCTACAGAGTCATCTGTGTCACGTGTCAATAATCCTGACAGCTTTCTGCAGGCCAGAGCTGGTTTTAATCTGTGATAAAAATCTTGATTTCAGTTTTTCCCTTTTCTCACACGCACACACACAAAACTGATTGCCAAAGAAACTTGTTAATGACATAATTATTTCAACCTTACCTTGAAAAATGAGACAGATTGTCTTGCAATTCTAACTTTTATATATTTTGTTGTTAAGATTAAAATAGTGCTTTCATCTTCCACTAAAACCAAAAGGAGATGAAAGGTACTCAGCCATTTTCAAAATTGCTTTCACTTTAAGTTTTAAAATTTACACACCATTTTCTGTGTCATCACTATCAAGAAGTCATTGAAGCTGATTTTTCCTGTTCCTTCCTTATCGATATCTGATATCATTTTCTTGATCTCTTCTTTTTTAGGTTCAAAACCTAGTGCTCTCATGGCCACCTGTAAGGACAAATATAAATCATACAAAACTATAAAAAAACCATGGGGGGTAAAAAAATTTGAACTTTATGCCACACCACATTAAAACATGCATTCTCTGTCTCAAGGAAAACAGCAAGGTAGGAGGCAGACTTAGAGCAATGCTTCTCTACACACAGGGGCACATCAAGATGCAGAAAATGGGAATACAACCATTCATATTCTGGACTTGTCCTTCAGTTAATTCAGAAATTTCCTTAACACATTCTTACCACTGCGTCCACCAGTCCCAGCTCAGAACTGTCAAGAATTTGGAGGGTAAGGGTATATAACAGAGTCTTGGAAGAAATATTTTCTCTGAGAAAATCTGGATTTTTTTTTTATAAGGTCTTAGCATACCTATTTTGGTATATACTTTTAAAATTCTTGTGATGGGCACTCAGAGCATAAAAGAATCCCACTTTGATTCATATTTTGAAGGAAAAATCCCAAACTGTCACACAGTGCTGTGGATAGCAATTTCCAAGGCTACTGGAAAATTCGATGTTACTCCATTCCTGTCAAGGGAATTGCTACTAGTATTCCCTTTGCAATGAGAAATAAGGCACTGAATGATTTAAAAAAAAAAAAAAAAAAAAAAAGCTTATTTGGGGCCCTGTTGGAAGCAAGATGGCTAAATGGAAGACCCAGAAATGTCTCAACAAAATGACTTCAAGACAAGCGACTCATGAAAGAAGTTTCCATCATACCTGCAAATCTACCAAACTCTAACAACCTGATCTGATGGCACAAACATGGAAGGTCTTAAGCTGGTAGACCGCAATTTTTTATTCTAGTAACAAAAAACTTTTTCAACGAATGTTGGGAAAACACAACTCAAAGACTTTGTGTGCCCTTCTGATAACACTCCTACAAGCAGCATATCCAAGGATGCCTTCACTTGTAGACACATGCATGCACACCTACACACTTTACTTTTTCCTCCTTTGATACAGGGATGAGTGGCAAGTTTGAAATCAGCTCTCCTCCCTATAGTCTTAAGTAATATGGACAGCCAGCTAGCACATAGGAAGGGCAAATTCTGAAAGCAAAGTAAGTCCTAATTTATTGATTACTGTTCTTCCCAAAGGACAGCGGTGGGGAGGGACCGAAAATGTTTTGCAAGAAATAAAAGCCTGAAAATGAGTAACATTGGTGTATTCCATAGCTTGGGTAAGCTAATTTGCTAAGCATGCAATCCTCAACAACACATAAGAGGGGGGAAAAAAACCCCACTTTTTTAATATGCACACACCCTTTTTGATGTTTTGCTAAGAGAGAAGGAGGCAGTGCAGAAAACACAGTACTATCAATGTATTTTGGCCAGCCTGGCCCTAAAGACACCTGATAACAGCAGTAAAGAGCCATAATTAAAGAGAAAAAAGTACCTGTTGACAACAAGGTTTTATGCTGGGGGCAGGGGGGAATCTCTCCTTTCCTGTGTAAAGTCATTTAGGCGTTTATGCCCCTGTTATTTTATAACCTCAGCCGAACTATGCTTTTAGCACCAGGAAAATTCTAACCTTTAGCTCCTTAACATCTATGTTCCCGGTGCCGTCTGTGTCAAACAGGTCGAAAGCCTCCCGGATCTCCTGCTTCTGCTCCTCAGTGAGCTCCAGCTTGGGACTCCCCTTCTTCCTCTGGGACGCGGCTCCTAGCGAAGGCTTCTTAAAGCTGGAGGCCTTGGCACAGCAACACAAAGGCAAAGGAGGATCAGGCCGCCGTCGCCATCACGGCGACGCACCGCTCCGGGAAGGGCCGGTGGGAGAGCGGCCGCCTCAGCCCTCAGCCCCCAGACCCCAGCGCGGCCCCGGGGCCGCTCCGGGCTGACAGGGGCCTCCCCCGCAGCCCCGCCGACCGTAGCGCCGGGAAACCGGAGCGGAGCAGGGCCGGGCCGGGCCGCACTCACCATCCCGGCGGCCGGTGCCCGGGGACGGCTCCAGTCCTGGCAGGCCCAGACTCAATGCCGCCCTTTCCCATTGGCTTATACCCCTACGCCGCTGCTATGGCAACCCTCACTCCTATTTGGTGGAGAGTCAGGGCGGGAGGCGCTTAGGCGATAGCTATTGGCCAATACGTGGCTGGGGCGGATCCAAGAGGCGACTGACCGGGGAGAAGAGCCTCTCCTTCCGTCAACGCCATTGGCCGAAGCGGGGGGAGGCCGCGGACCAATCAGCGAGCGATAGCCGGCTAGCGCGATGCTCAGCCCAGGGCGCTCGGGAGGAGAAGCGGAGGGAGCCGGTGGAGTGGGCGGGGTCTGCTGGAAGCGTCCGCGCCGATTGGTGGAGCGGGAGGGAGAGAGGGAAGGGCTTGACATGGGGGGCGGAGCCGGGCCGGGGGTAAGGGCGGGCTGCGGAGGGCAGAGGGCGCCGTCGGTGAGGTGAGGGCGGGGGGTCGGTGTGAGGTGAGGGAGGCTGAGGGGCGTGAGGAGGGCCGGGGTGAGGTGAGGGAGGCTGAGGGGCGTGAGGAGGGCCGGGGTGAGGTGAGGGGAGGGAGGCTGAGGGGTGTGAGGAGGGCCGGGGTGCGGGGAAGGTCATGGGGGCTGTGGAGGGGCAGGCTGAAGGCAGCAGAGCCTGCAGGGCTGTAAGGAGGGCTGGGGTGTGGGATGGGTTGTGGGGCCTGGGGAGCTAAGAGGGGCGGTAGGGGAGGCTGTAGGGGAATGCGGGGTAGGTTGTGGGGTGTGTAGGGAGGGAAGCTGGGGGCAAGGGAGGCTGCAAGGCTGTGAGGAGGGCTGGGACATGGGGAAGGGTGTGGGGTGTGTGGAGGGGCAGGCTGAGGGGCTGAGAAGGTGGGGGTGGTGTGAGGAGGTGTGGGGTAGAGGGTAGGTTGTGGGGGGTGTGGAGTGGGAAGCTGGGGTCTGAGGTGCTGGGGATAGGGGAGGCCGCAGGGATGTGAGGAGGGCTGCGGTATGAGGAAGGGCAGGCTGTAGTGGCGTGTGAGGAAAGCTGGGAGTGGGAGAAGCTGCGCGGGTGTGGAGGACGGCTGAAGGGGTGGGGGGGCTCTGGGATGGGGGGGCTGAAAGAACTGGAGGGGAACTGAAGACGAAGTAGTTCATAAATTGCATTTTGGAGAGGGGTAAGGCCTGTGTTAAGGGAGATGTGGGGGTAGAAGAGGGGGCAACTGGAGGGTGGATCACCCTGTGCCCATACTTCCAAACCAGCTTGGTGTTCCTGGCTGGGCAGGCACCAATCCTGCCTTTTTTTTGGCTTTTTCCTTGCCATTTCAAAGGGCTTTTCAGAAAAATAAAAAATGAAGAGTGCTAAACTGTGTAGCTTGCAGAGTAAGCCAGTCCCACAGATGTATTTGCTTGCGTGAGGCATGGTACTGTGATAATTTTATAGCAACATTGGTGTAGCTGTTCCTGGATCTCATCCAGTTGTGTTGGCACTGGTGTTCATGAAGTGAGATAGGTCAGAGAGCTGCTCTGGCTGAAAACCAACCCAGGCACAAAATGATTAATTTTCAGCTAGTCATAGCTTTGATCCATCTCAGTGCAGTAGGAAGTAGTGGGAAGTACTGACTAGGAATAAGGAGAATCAAATCAGCCTCTAAAGCAGTAGTTTATCATAGTGGTGGTTTAAAGAGCCCGTAAAGCTGTCAGAAGTCTTTGTGTGCAGCTTGTCTTTATGTTGGAAACGGATCTAAATAGACATGTTGTCTTTTTCTGTCTTTCAATTATACCCCAAGCAGTAGGATCCCAGCTGAGTTGGGAATTTTGTTTGCTATTGCTGGGAGGAAGAGCGTATTTTAATGAAACTGGTGGTATCAACAGCCTGTGATATGAAAACTTAGAAAATCTCACCACTAGCTCCCCTCTCTTTGCTGATGGGCACCAGTGAGCGCTGGTGTTTCTTCTGTGCTGTGTCTGCTGCTGTGGAACAGGCGGGCATGATTCTGCTGAACTGCTTGAACTTCAGTTTTATTTTGTTGTTCCTAACACTCTTGAGTGGCTATATTTTTGAAGAGGACATTGTCAAAACCTGCAATCGTGCTCATGTTATTTGGAGTGTAAATATTCAGACTTAAAGGAAGTGCATGAAGCTAATACTAGCTAAAATAAGATGGTGCCTATATTATCAAGGGTATTTTATTGTATTAAAATTATGCCTTTGAGAAAGCTATTTGATCTCACTGTTACTCTTGTACTGCTTATTTTGTTCAGCAGGGCAGAGAGAATTAGCTCACTTTTTTCACGCTTCTGCTTTAGCATAATGGCTTCAAACCTCGATTTCTATAACTAGAAATGTGGTTTTAAAAAAAAGTTTGGTTTGTGTTAATGGCATGCTTAAGTAAAGTATTGTATTGTGAATAAAATAATATTCTCCTTTTTTAAAGGAATCAGGTTGATAGTGAATCATCTGAGAAATGGCCACACGCCTCAGATCGGTAAGTTGAGGACTTAAACGATGCTTTATGAAGACTTGTCTTGCAGAAACATATTTTCATAGTTGCTTCTTCTGAATATTGCTAGGGATGACATGAGACTGTTCCTGCATTAAAACTAATTCTAGAGGTAATGGTGGGGGAAACGTGATTTTCCAAGGAATCATTTGCTTGGTTTAGTTCCAAAGATCCAGGAATGCTCCAACTCCCGCAAGAACACCAGTGGTCTTGTCAGTGCTGCCAAATCAATTGGTCTGGAGATTTAGTTACTCCAGGATCATTTCTACATGCCTTATAACATTATTCCATGTTGTAGTGCAGGTGAAGGCCCAGTTGAGGTCCCTGAGACCTACTAGACCATTGTAACCTCTTTCTGTGATTACTGCATTGGATATAGGAGATTAGAATATGGGAAGTGTAACATTTTGCTTAGCTCAGAGAGGTGTTTGGACGTTACTCTTAGGAGTACATTTTATTAAGCTGTTCTGTTACATTACCGATGGTTCTTGTTTATAGAGATTTCTACCTTCTGAACTATTTTCTTATTAATTCATATGAAGCTTATGGAAGACCAGTGAATCTCAGATATTTAAGAAACAAAGAAACAAAAAACCCAATGTGGTGTCATGGTAGAGAGTGTGAACAAGCTGTTGTATCTTCACAGCACAACACTAGATAGGTAGCAATTCATATCCTAAAATCAATATAGTCATGTGTAGCCTGGCTTTCTACCTGCATTTTTTAAACCAGCTAATTAATCCAGGTGCAGCACTGTTAGCTGCAGTTATACTGATTCTGGTCATTGAGTTGGTTCATTTACTACTTTCCCAAGAGGTGTGTGTACGAGATTGTATTGTATATTATAAATATGCACTAAGGATTATTAAAATAGTCTGCTTCTCATCACCAGTTAGAATAGTGTCCTTATACTTTGGCAAGTGGAAAACTATCATACACAAAAACCTGGACTATCTCATCTGTACCGGTAAAAAACGATTCTGATGTTTAAAGCCAGACAGAGGGCGTCATTCTGCCACTGTAAAACTTCAGTTCAGCACATCTAAGTGCAGTCTGCAGTTTGGGTGCTCTCATTTTATGAAGAACTCACTGGAATGAGAAAGGGTACAGGGGAAGGCAAGTAAAAAAAATATCGATGGAAGGGAGCGACTGCCTTTTGAGGAGAAACTGAAAAGGCTAGACCCCTCAACAGGGAGAGGACACCACAGAGGGGAGGGATGTGACAGACTTTAGAGAATCAGGAAGCTGATGACTAAAGCAAATGCAAAACTGTTGTAGTGGGGGAATACAAGGAGAGTGAACTGCAGAGAGTCCTTAGACTCTCATATTCTATGTTGTCTGTTCTCTTGCAGCTATCAAAACCAAATAGGCCACTGGGCCAACCCATTAGAACTTTTAATTTTTTTTAATCAGACTGTATTTTCTATGCACCATTCTAAATAACTGGTTATGATTTAATGTAACTGAGCAACTGCAGTGAACTCTTCTAATTTTTGTTGTGGATAATCGACATTTTGCAGTAGAACCGTTGTTTAAGGATGTAGCACTTAGAAACTTCTGAACAATTGTTGTCTTTGTGTGGTTTCACTGGGTTGAAATTCCCTTCAGCTCGATAGAATAACTGCAGAGGTGGGTTTTTGGTAGCAACGATAAGGAACAAGTCTATTTCCAACCAGGACAGAGCATTCTTTGTGCAAAAGCTTCCTCAGACTCGTTGCTTGTATGTTCTGTGCTGGCGGTAAGGTCTTCAGTCTTGGTCCTGTTAGACGAGTGACCAGGCTGGAATCTGTTAATTAGTGCCTCTAGCCATTGATTTTAAAAAGCTTAAAAAAAGAAAGGAGGAACTAATGACTAACTAAAAAGGACAAGCCTTGCCTTTACCTGATTGCTTTCTTGGCTTGGAGAAGCCTAGGTTTCACATGGTCTGAAAATAGTATTCTGAATTATCTGTGCCATGTGGCTGAAGCAAATTCTGTTTGCTTTACCATCAGGGCAGCGTTTGTCAGAGCCAGTCCTCTTTTCCTTCCCTACTATGTGAGCCGCTTGGTTATGAGGCAGAGTCATGCCAAAGTATAAGCCAGCATGTGAGCCGTGTGGACCATTAGCATGTCTGAACTTTTAAGTTACTGTGATAGCACAGACATATTGAAGAGTCTTTTGATATCTGAATTTAGACTCCGCCAATTAAACTAGCTACTGACTAGTTGTGCAAAATTCCAGCACACTTTGATCTGGGGAAGTTCAGATCAGTTTACTTGCGCAGTTTGTGGTGTGTGTCTGCTTGCTAAAGTGCTTTTCTCCCTGTCTCTACAGGTTGGTAAGAAATGTACAGTGATCGGCGGGTCAGGATTCTTAGGCCAGCACATGGTGGAGCAGCTCCTGGAGAAGGGTTACATGGTCAATGTGTTTGATATTCAGAAGAGATTTGAAAATGACAGAGTGCAGTTCTTCCTGGGAGACCTTTGCGACAAAGAGGTACAGACTAACAATGGTACATGACATGGGTAGATAGAAGAGATGTCTGATTAAATAAATGTTCATTCAAATAGCTTACCGAGTCTTGCCTGAAGCACTAGAACACCTGAAGGCATTGCACAGGTTGTGAAAGGGTATGTAGTATGCCCCCCAACCTTTCCCTGTGAAGTCAGTAGCCTAAGCAGTTTTCTGTGGAACCCTCATGTAGAACATTTAAAGAAATATACTTGATGTCTGCTTGAAGCTGGAAAGAGCAGAACTTGTTTCTGTATTATGATTTGCATTACTGTTAGCTCAGATATACAGTCTAATTATAATCACTGTTGGTAATTGCATGTGGGTGCTCTCCTAGCTAACCTCAGCTGCATGAGAACAGCAGAATGCATTATTCCTAACAGTTAAGGCACGCTAAGAACTCTTGCCTTAACTCAGTCATGCACGCGAGCCTTGGCAAAAACATTTGTATGCAATGTGAAGAGACATCTCCCCACCAGTATAAAGTATCATGTCTCAGAGCTTTCTGACAGTTATCTCAAACACAGACAGTGCCATGGGGTACTGTTGGCTGTTAAACCTGCTGCTTGCTGAGTTTTCCGACTTCTACCTCCAGGTTATGTTGAGTCTCATACTTGCACTTGAGACTATTGCAAGTAGTTAAGTCTAGATAGCCTCCAGGTCTCAGAAGGTTCCTAGGTTCTTCTCCAGAAAGAAAAGATGATGTAATGTGGTTTTGTCTAGCAAGAGAGGACGTTGTGAAGGTCCTGGACTCTAATCCTATTCCAGCTGCTCACCTTTACGGAAAGAACACGACTTGAAACTTAGTGGTTTTGTTTCCATGAGAAAAAGAACTGTGTCTTATTTCCTTCCTTTTTTTTTTTCTTTTTCCTGAGTAGGCACTGTTGCTGTTGCTTCATTGCTGTCTCATGTGATGTGTCTTCTAGGCTTTGCTCCCAGCTTTACAAGGTGTGTCAGTGGCATTTCATTGTGCATCACCAGCACCTTCAAGTGACAACAGGGAACTCTTTTATAAGGTGAATTTTATGGGAACCAAAGCAGTCATTGAAGCCTGCAAAGAAGCTGGAGTGCAGGTAAGGGTAGGAAAGCACATGGAGACTATAAGATGCTGATGTGACTTTATAACAATTGGAGCATGGACCAATTTCAATCTAGTTTGATAGAGGGGCAAAGGTCTCTGAGATACTGAACTGCTACTTGTTCTGTGAAAATTAGTAGAATAGAGAGACTCTTGGTCTCCCGCTTAGTGTCTGGTGTAAGCTCAGTCCATGTTTGCCACAGAAAACCTACACATTGCAATATTCCTGACTGTAGGAAAAGCATCCATTAAAATTTGTCCTACTAGATGTCTGGGAATCACCCATGGGAGAACCATGACTGACAAGAGGATTCTTTCATGCTTTAATAAGGGGACAACTCTAAAGATAGCTCTTCCAGCAGTGGAAGTATTGATGGCATCTATTACCTATGTAAATTCATTGACATATAATGAGAAGGAACACATTTATGCCATAATCTCAGGATAATTTGGTTTAGAAAGTCATTTGCCCACAAAAGAAAGCCAGAGGAAACGAGGCTGCTGTTCAGGCAAGGTTGTGGGGATTTTTTTCTCCTTATGTTATGTTGATATCACATGAGTTTTCATTTAAATTCTTAGCAAATTTTCAAGTGCAATGCCTGTAAAGATCCCTTACTTATTCTGGGCAGAGATGTTGCCCCCCAAAGCATGTATTTTGCTCAGTGTCCATGTGCAAACACAGAAGTGATAATGTTTAGAATTAAATGATGTCTATCGCACAGGACTCCCGGCCTCACAGTTTGTTGTATGTTGGGTTTCCCCCCCCCCCTCATGTAATAAGCTGTTGTAGGAAATGGGCAATGTGGTGTTTACCTTCAGGCTTAGTCTGGATTCTGTCAGAGCAAGGAGTTAAGCCTTGTTGGAACTTGTTGGATCTAGTCATCTTTCTATTACAGTTTAGATCTTATTTAAAACATGTTTCTGATTACTCAAATACATCACTGACTTCCTGTTTTGAATCCACTAGGGTACATTTTTATCCAACGAAAACATCCAAGATAAGAATTCTTTTTGGTTTAATCTACTGTGATATCGTTATCATCAAGATGAGCAAATATCTCTTAAAAACACTTGTTGCATGTTAAGTGCTAAAATATGCCAAGCCAAGTGGGCACTCTGATTTTCCTGGAGATGTTTTCCCCTTGACTGGCTGCCTTACATGTTTGTTGAAATGTTTTAATCTCCTTTAGGTAGCGCTAAACAGTGTGACAGAGTCAATTAAAAGAGTGGGAGTTTTCTTACCTGCAATCGCAGATCATTTTCTGTTAGCCTACATTCTTCTAGACTTGGATTATTATCTGTAGAATCAGTTGCTTAAATGTTATTGTCTTTACTCAGCCTTCATAAATAATGACCCTTTTGGTTTAGGTTTTAAACAACTGTTTTCTTCCACATCTATTGCAGAAACTGGTGTTAACTAGCAGTGCCAGTGTAGTTTTTGAGGGCACAGACATAAAAAATGGATCAGAAGACCTCCCTTATGCAAAAAACCCTATTGACTATTACACAGAGACAAAGATTCTACAGGAGAAGGTATTTGTCATAATATGGTTAATGTTGTTATTTTCGATGCTTAAAACTGCCCTTCTAAAAGTAGGGCATGCCCTAGGGGACACAACAGACTCTTCAAGACTGAACAGATCTCTCTTGTTCTCCAGAATCTCTCTTTCATTAGAAAGAAGTATCTCGTTCTTACAGTTGAAAAGAAAACCTGTGCAGAATCATGCATATGCCTGCCAGAGTTTTCAGAGTATAACTGAAATAGAAAATTCCCTTCTTTTAGACAAATCTGTCTGATTTTAGCCCTCTTATTCTCAGCATAAAGGCTAGTGAGCTGTGGATTCATTTGTTCTGTTACAGACAAGTATGGCAGGTGACTACCACTTGCATCTTTCACAAGTGACCCACATCCTTTTCCCTAGGCGTGCTGATGGGTTGGTCCAGGGGATGCTTTCCTAGCAGCTGTCTAGCTGTTGAAATACATAAGTTCTAAGTTATGTCTTCCTTGGCTGATGAAACTCCTAAGTAGTGTATTCACTTAATAAAAAGAGAATAAAATAAAGCTGTGACATAAATTACCAAGGCAGTTGAATGAAATAGTGTGTTACGCTACAGAGGTGGTTTCGAGAGGAAGAATAAAAGAACTGGCAGAGATATTGCTTTCATTGCCAGAGCCATGTGATAATCCCATTTCTTAACTTATCCAGCTTTGTTTTAAGAGCAGTTGAGGGGAGTTTTTTGCCTTCTCTGCTCCTACTGGAAGGCTGTTTCCGAACCCCATTTACCTGAATTGCAGCCTGAAGTTACAGTTGGGATTGTGAACAAGTCACTGGGGAAGGAGAAGATAAGGTGGAGATGTGGACTGAGTTAAAGGGGCATGGCAGCCTAATAACATGTTGTAAGCTAATGCTATTGGCCATGTACTGAAAATATTCTTGTTAAAAAAGATCTAAAAATTTCCCCTACATCTGAATGTCCACTACTTTGAACATTAGCAGACCACCAGCATCTGTTCTATTTCAGGTTCTTAATGCTGCAGTATTTGTGGTTTAAATATGGAATGACAATGTTTTAAATCAAAGCGAACAAACATTTTTTTTGAACTTTTTTCAGTGGCTTGCATTTCAGTTGTGGAAAGAATCCATGCTTTTTGTGCCTGAAGAATATAGACTTGCTTCCATACTGAAGCTGACAGTGTGCCCTCTAAAGCTGAGCATTAGCCTTTAAGGATTTTTCTTACGTTCCTTAAAAAGAGCTTAATTGAAAATGCAGCATAAAAACATCTGTTCATTCACAAGCATAACCACTTTGCAGTAAAGTGGACTAATAAAGTGGAAGCTTGTGAGTAGCAATCAAGTCTAGCCCACTATGCTTGTAATTATGTCTTTGTTTTGGGTGAAACAGAGAAAGTATTCAGTGTTTATTTGTATGTGTTTTTCTTGGATTTTTAATAGAAAATCCAGCAGCTGTTAAAAATTAGTAGAACATGTTGTTTGGGAACTCCCAACAGATTAAATCTTCTTCAGAGATGCCCTGCTAAATCTGGTTAGCCCTGCCAGGAAGATGGGATCACACCCTTCTGAATGAGATCAAGAAGGCCCATCATGGAAATCTTCCATTGATTGATGAGACAGATGGAGACTGAATTGCTTAGTGTCCTTCTTTTCTCCAACATGTCCATAAAGAATTCATGGTGTGAAGGAACTTTCAAAGCTCCTCTGGTTTCTGTGGTGTTAAATGAGAGGCGAAGAGTTCCCTTCCTTTGCCTGTCAATTCATTAAGTGTTCAATAATGAAAACAGATTTTTGTCTGTTTTTTCTCATTAAAGAGAAGTGGGAGAAGAGATGGGAACAAAGGAAGGATCATTTGTAAAGGCAAGGGTGGACAGTAATTCTTCCACCGATGTCTTCCCAAGGAGATGGGGGAATGCCCACCCCCTTTAGTGATGATCTTGGAATATGTTACTAAGCTGTATTTTTCTTCCCAGCCTTTCTCTCCTGACTTGGTTATCTTTTTTCCCTACAGGAAGTGCTCAGTGCAAATGACCCATGCAACAATTTCTTCACTACTGCTATTCGTCCCCATGGAATATTTGGTCCCAGAGACCCTCAGCTGGTTCCCATCCTCATCCAAGCAGCTAAGAGTGGCAAAATGAAGTTCATAATTGGGTGAGCAAGGCTCAGTCATTTTATAGTTTTTGTTAAAATTGATGCTGAACCTACAAAGCCCTTTTGGAAGGGAATTATGTTAAATCACTAGTGTTGTTGTGGCATGGAAAAAAGTACCTTTCTTTAATTTTTCACTTGTGACCCAGGATTCTGTTTTTTAAAAATCTTTCTGTGTTAGGGACTCATGCATGCAGATGGTAAGTGTTCATAATGCAAAAAGAATATCGGTGGGGAAAGCTGACATAGCTTGAGCTTTCTTTGCATTGTCTAAAGAGCTGTCCTTTTAAATATGAGAGAGCTCAGATTACTTGATGTTAATTTAATTAATATACACTTCTGGTATTTGAGGTTCTTGCAATTCAAAAGCCTATATGGCAATGTTTTAATATTTCTGATTCTAAGATCAAAGATATTTGTCTTGTTATGGAGCCTTGCAGAGTTTCTAGTGGACCACTGAAATTTTAGAGCAAGAAATAGTTCAAGTTACTACTAAGGATATTTTTATCAATTGTATTATGCTCTTGAAAGAAATGTGCTCTTTAATTTACAATAGATTTATATTACATGCAGGGAGCTTGTTTGAGTGTATATGTGCACATGTGAATATGTGTTTCGGGTAGAAGGAAGAAAGGGAGTAGGGTTGTGAGGGTTGTGGTCTTTTTGGTGTTGGGTTTGGTGGGGTTTTGGGTTTTTTGGGTTTTTTTTTTTTGGTTTTGGTTTTTTTGGCTCTCATTCTTCCTTACAGTTCAATTCTGAGTTCATCCCTCAGACTGATCTGTGAGCAGCAAACATACACAAACTCAAGGTTTCCACTTTGTGCAAGTCTTCATTCTCTTCCAGCTCAAACATGCATTCCTCATTTAAGTTTTCCTACTGCTATACAGACCTGTATATCCCTTCCAAGAAAGCAAATAAAATAGTTATACATCCATGAATATAGGAAATGAAAATAATTCTTTTGCAGAATGTTGGATTGCAGCAATACTGTTTTTATGGCCAAATGAACATGGTGATGGTTTTGTAACAAACAATTTGTTTGATTTAGCTGGACTCTTGAAAGTGATATGCAGATTCATTTTCATTTTCTCTACCTGTGTAGAAATAGATTTAACACAGTGGGTTAAATCTGTTTCAGCTGGGGCTGAGGTTGGCTTATTGAGGGAGTAAGTTAGAATTTCATGAGCCAAGAAATCCATAATTGAAAGCTTGTCCTTAAGTGACTTTCTTTGTGCTAGTTACCACTCTGTTTGTATTTGTTCTGCTGCTGTGGATCACTCTGCTGATTCTGAGACCTGTAGGATCTGCAACACCTGGATACTTGGTAACGTGTGAGGTTTAAAAATGGTACTGTTACAGTAATGTAAACTTTGAGGGCCTTGACAAGAGCTAAGACAGTAACCGCCTTTCCTCTGTCTCCAAAATAACACATAGTGATTTCCTCTCTCTGACAGGGTATAGCCTGAAGTTGCAGCACAACAGAGCAGAAGAGGGATCTTGAAATAAATACATCTTGTGTGAAAGTCCTTCCATTTGCCACAGCAGATTTTCAGCCTAACTTGCCTTAGGGCTAAACTTCTTCCTTTTGTCTGCGCAGGGATGGAAAGAACTTGGTAGATTTCACCTATGTGGAAAACGTGGTCCATGGACACATCCTAGCTGCAGAAAATCTTCAGAAAAACTCTCCTCTGTGTGGGAAGGTAAGGAAGGACCTAGCAAGGGGAGGGCAGTGGGTGTCCCCTAGCTGAACTTTATCTGCAAGCCTCACTTGGCTTCATGTGTCTGCTCTGTAATTTATGCTGATTTTTGTCTGTACTGAACATCGATCTTGGAGATGAGTGGAACTAGCACACACAAATGGGTCAATTTTTTTCTGTCTATGGGTATAATGAATGGTTGCCCATCTGGTGACCATTGTGTGCAACCACATGGGCTAAGATGTATGAATATACTTTAACTTTATGCTATAAAACTCCTTGTGAAAGGAAATCCAGGCAGAATTGTGGGCAGCCAAGATGCATACATAAGAAACATAGTTATTTAGCTTTTACAGCAGAATTCAGAACAGATGAAACATAGATTTTCATGGCACCACCGTGCTCTGGGCATGCACTGTACATACAGCTAGGATGCTTTAATGTGTTTGCGTTGTGTTGTGTCATTCAGTTTGTTTGACCGTCTATGAGTAATCTTAACCTCTAGGGTGTCGGAAGTAGCTGGCTTGCTTAGCAAAGAAGGGGTTCATCACTTTTCAGACAGAGGTGGTTAGTGCAAAGCAGTTTCTCATGAAAATGTGTTCTCAGTCAAGTCAGGGATGTCAGTCTCCTTGTGAACATGAGATGGGCCATCACAAAGACAAGTTTGTGAAAACCATAATGATTTTATCACCTGGCTTTTTGTCTTCCTTTCTTTCAGGCATTTCATATCACAAATGATGAACCAGTTCCTTTCTGGGCTTTCATGTCGCGTATCTTGACTGGCTTGAACTACGATCCTCCCAAGTACCATATTCCCTATTGGCTGGCATATTACCTGGCCCTATTCCTGTCTCTAGTGCTGTGGCTGTTAAGTCCACTGGTCACCATCAAGCCTACTTTTACACCTATGCGGGTAGCATTAGCTGGAACGTTTCACTACTACAGCTGTGAACGGGCCAAAAGAGACATGGGCTACAAACCAGTGGTGAGCTTGGATGAAGCAATAGACAGGACTCTGCAGAGCTACCCCCACCTACGCCGGGCTAAGGCCTGAGAAGTCCTAAATGGATTTTTTCTACTTGATTTTCCTAATTGCTTTGACATCTTAACGTGAACACTGAAGCAAATTTCACTAATTCTCTGGAACAGGGAGTTTTCCTGAAGGCCCTCCTCCTCACCATTATAAAGACAGCTTTATCTGGGTTGAAAAAAACTCATGTAGGAGCTGTGCTAACAGTTCTTTTCTTTGATGTGACTTCTTGTTTTGAAACAGCTGCTGAACCCTATGGACTATGAATAAACACCCTGCCGTGCCCTCTTCAGTCCCAACCCAGCACATCAGCATTCCTTCATCTTCTCTTTCCACCCTTGTCCTCTGTTTTGTTGCTCTGGTGATAACAGCCACCTCTTCTCATAGCTGCAGACTGGTTAATGAAATACTTCTCACGATTGGTTCCTCTCTGTGGTTTGGCTTTTTTCTATACAAGAGCAATGAAAGAGAGGCTTATGCCAAAAAGGAGTTCTGCCACCATCTCTTAACAAAATTGGCTTCAATGATTTATTCCCTCCATGATTGGTGGGTGGTTTGACTTCTTACTGAGGCATTAGAAGGAAACCTGAGAAAAGGCATGCTAGGCCTCTCTTTGTAAGGAAGCATGTGCCTTTGTGTCTGCAGGAGCCTATTTCTATTCAAAAACAACCCAAATAAATCAAGAAGAGATGACTTCCTAATTTTGTGTTCCATCTTTGAAAGGGCAGATCCCATGCTGAACATCTCAGCATAAACAGGATTTTAATCATTCTGCTTGTGGGGGAGAAATCTTTGCTGTGGCTGTTGTCAGTCAGCAAATACTATTTTACCATAGCTCACTTATTTCCCATAAAAACTGAATTGGTTGGAAGATCCAACTGCACAAAGCTCTCATCTTGCCTGACATGTTGTTGCTGGTAATGGTGATTTTTATTGCTTTGACCACTTAGTACATGAAAAAAACTTTTCCACAAGAAAATGGTTATCATAATTCTATGTTGACCAAGCTGTTTAGTTTGACAGTTATATTAAGTGTACTTCACCCTATAATCTTTTTAAGTGCTTTAGTTCTGTTTTGTTTCTAAATGAAGAGTTTAGGTTAGAGTTGGAACTTCCCTCCGTGCTAGTTCCTGGCTCTAGAGGAGTTTTGGTGTTTCAAATTTCGTAAGTATGGGAAGTGCCTCACACAATGAACCTCATCTGGGAGCTCAATATGCTGCAAGAATCCTATAGAAATCAGTTTTATTTTAACTTCTGGCTGTTTTCTGGAGAGTTTTATGTTGGCTTGTTTTTTCCTGGAAATTTTTATTTGCTGCTTTAACAGCTAGCTAGTTTTACTGACCTTTGCTTTGCTTCATCTTGAAGTAAATACTAGCCAGTTGCTTGGGCTAGTTCACACAGTTCTGGTTTGCACCAGTCATCTATCTTGGCCTTTTTTTTTTTTCTTTTTTTTTCCCCAGCCTGTAGGGTTAAATATTTAAAGCTTGAATTCTAGAGTGCAATTCTTCAGCAGTGTGTTCTTAAAAAAAAAAAAAAAAAAAAGCCCTGTGGTTCCTAGGTTTTCTGGAATCTGCTTGTGTCATCATATATCCCATTTCAGTGGGAGACAGATGCTGCTTTCAAAGACCTGAGCTGTGTTAGCCTCCATGTGATGCATCAATGTGCCAGCACAAATTCAGTGTTAATGGAAAGACCCTTTCTTCCCGCACTGTTTCTGTGTGTACCAGTGCCCCATCTATTTAAAAAAATAAATAAATAAAAAAATTGTGACATATAAAAGGAACACTCATATGGTGAAACCACGCCTGGCTGAGAGACATGGCTTTATTCCCAAGGTTTTGTAAAAGGCCAGGCATCTCACCTGCTTTAAGGGGTGAGGAAGGACTGAAGTATGTTTGTTCCTTGCTCCTTTCTGTAAAGCTGGGCCCACTTCTAGTTTTTGTAATGTAGTCAACTGACACTAAACTTGTAGCTCGTTACTAGAAGAATGGCTTTTTGTGAAAATGGACAATTCAGACGCATCTCTGCTATGTGCAGTAGAGGTAGCTGCTAAACCCAAGCCAGTGAGTACAGAAAGCCCTGAAGGACAGTGTGTTCTAGTTCAGATGCAGTGCTGCACAGAAAAGATGGTACTGCTTTTGGGACTCATGGTGCAGCACAGCAGAGAACTCCAGCTCCTCATCTGAGAAGTGCGAATAACACTGTCCTCGCACAGAGGTGGTGTGAGAATAGGATTGTACTGAAGTGAAAGGAGCAAGCACTATGATTGCTTGGAAGTCAAACATAAAAAATAGGTAAAAGCACATTTTGGCCTCTAGATGGCATTTCCCAGCTAGATCTGCCTTGCAGCTTCAATCAGTCCCAAAAATGCTGTCTCTCAGTCCTTGGACAAAGTTCCAGTGGAGGGTTACTCATCTTCCCGTGTCTTTGGAGGACTGTCAAGCTAAGAGGTGAAGGTAACAACCAGAAGGTGCTACAGAAACAAGAGGCACTGGAAGTTCAAGTCTGCTGGATAAAAAGCAGCAGGCAGTATGGTTTCCCTCACGTGTCTGGTTAATACAAGAAGGGTAAACCAGAGGTTTGCCTGTACGGGGGCGAGCATTTTCCCAGAGCTGGGCATGGAAAGAAGCATTGCATCATGCTGAAGTTGGTTTGACTTGGTACTCCCTATATAATTAGGTCAGTTCCCAGCATTTCTTCTGGCAGGCAGACTAGCTTCTGTTTTCCAAAACAGAAGTAAACAGGCATTGCTGTGCCTATACCCCTGGCCACAACAGAGGAGGAACCTTGCTTTATCCATAGCTTCTTCTATCCTTGATCAACCCTCCTCCTCTCAACTCATTTTCTCATCGTAATAAGCACCTGCATAAGTCCCATCTTGTGTTTTCTGGGCAAGCCAATATGATCCTTCTGTACTTTCCTGTCTGTGATTTATTTGTCATGCCACCTCTTTGCAGCCTTTATCTTGTGTGTGTGTGTGTGTATCAGCAAGCAACCAAGCAGGAGGCTACAAAGCAAAATTGCCATTATCAAAATTTCCTTCCAAATATCTAGGGTCAAATGTAGTTGCAATCTGTCGTTTTTTAGTAATGCTCAACCAGAGTTGCTAAAGACTTCAAAGACTTTCCTATAGCACTCTTGTCAAACTTGTCTCTCACTTTGCTTTCCTGGCTTTTTCTTGCTGCAGCTCCTAATTTTGCTGACCTGAGACTGTTTTTGGTTTGACAAGCAGTGGGAGAGATAAAGGAGATATCTTCTGTTGCTTACCCTAGAGAAAGGAGAGGGAGGGAAAGAGAGAGGTATAAAAGTGCTTTTCTAGGTGGAGTTGAGGTAACCAAGAACCCCATTTCCCCTCTTACAGAGAAATTGCAAAGGGGATGTGCACAGGAGGAGTGCTACAGTTAAGAAATACCTTTCAGTCTTGCCCTCAGAGTGTGGGTGAAGCTCTTGTCCAGACACACATCAGTGCCAAAAGGGAAAAAGGCTGGCTTTAAACATGTAAGAGGAGCGATTGATGAAAAAGCAGGTCAGAAATTATCTTGCATGTCCAGTGAGCAAAAAGGCATGGAGGCAAACTTAAGTCAAGCCTGAGGTGGATCTGTAGGAGGTATCAGGTGGAGGATAACGTTTGCATCACGCAAGCGTGTGGTTACCATTGTGGAAGATCAGTACCTTCAGTGACTTCTAAATACAGGGACCTACTGATGCATTGCAGTGCTCAAATGCAGCCTTTTGTGAAACTGAAAGGGGCACCTTTTGATTCAGTAGATCCTTACATATGTTATTAAAATCTGCTGATGCTAGTGATCACTAAGCACTAGTATAAGTTTCCACACCTTCTAGCACTGCAGAGCCAAACATGGCATGAGTGGGCTGGACTCTGCTCCTTGAGAGAATTGTTTACCAAGTTTTGCTAATGCTTGTGCAAGCGTTTGGAAAGTGCCAGGTCCACAGATGTAAGTGATGGTGCAACTTGGTCCTTATTATGGGAGAAGGAAAGCAACTTGTTTGCCTCAGAGCCCAGAGGAAGCTTGCTGAGCTGGTGATGAGAAATAAATAAGCATCTCCCTACTTGCAACAGAGCGTGTTTGAGGTGTTCCTGTTACCTGATTGCACATGTTGTTTTACTGTCTTAGCAATGCCATCAGGCTGGCACTTAGCCACAGCCTCTCTTTTGCTCTGCGTTTGCTGACAAGATCGTTTTGTCTCAGCGCTGAGAGCTCCTGACCTCCTGTGCAGGTGTGTCTTCATGACCATGGGTGAGATTATTGTATTCTAGCACTAAATAGTCAAGGATATATGATTCTGTTCTGCTACCTGCTATTAGGAAGGTGAGGTCTGGCATTTTGGCAGTGCTTTGTAATGACACCTCATGAAAAACCAGTTTGATTCCCTTGTAAGAAATGGGTGTAGTGGTTTTACACCCTTCTACTCATCACAGCTCTGCTCAGTCTCTACTGAGGCTTTGGTTTTCTGTCACCTAGGCAAAGGCGCAAAGAATTGATGGGTTAGTCACCTTCGTTCCACCTTCGGTGCAAGGATGGGGGCCAGATAGTTACACAGGAGAAAGTATTATCGAAAAAACAGGAAATGTTCCAATGGAGTTCAGTGTTCTGCAGTGGTGTTGACTAATTTTTCATGACTAGAAAATACTAAAAAATATTTAAGAATATATTGTAGTAACTGTTCAAATACAAGCTGGACTGGTCAGTGAGGCTGCATGCCTCTGGGCAGAAGTCCATTGCTGTCATGGGAATGATAAGAATTGCTATGCTACTCAGTACAATCACCTTTCCATAAAATTGGCTGCCTGGATTTTGAGACTTGAGCAGGTTCCTACCTTGTAGACATCACTGTTTCTGAAGGTATGTGTACTGCACTTCTGGAAAGGAACGTACTGTAGAGTTACACAAACTAGTTTTAAACTGGCTGTTTCTGGAAGTGGTAGCAGTGTGCCCATGGCAGAAGAGAGCTTAGAGCAGGCTGACTTACCGTAGCAAGAAGAGACTATGGTATAGGTATGACTGCAGTTCACAGCCAGCCAAACCTGCTAGCATGACCTTCTATGCTGCTAGCTGTGAGCTTTCCTGTGCTTACTCCTATATGGCTTATCTACTGGGGTTTGGCTAAGAGATCCCCTCTGGGACATCTGCTGGTCCTCAAAAAATAGAGAGCTCATCTGTTGATGTTT